GCCAAATGACTACTAGAACAACTTTGTTTTGTCATTTGAAACTTGTTGGAATGGTTTAAGATGGTTAAAAATAATCTTGACTTGTTTTGAGATTTATTAAGGTATTTTTCAAGCAAAAATGAGTTTTAAAGTGCAAAAATCAAAATCTTAGACATATTAAACTTTGAATGATTTATCCTATGGTATTTTGCATAAATATACTTGTTTAAATGATTTTACCATGATGAAAATGATTTTTGTGATTTTTATACATATGATTTGTTTTTGTTGAAAATGATTATATGACCATGTTAATTAAAATTACTCAATATATTATTAATGCTTGGATAGTGTGAAATATTTTTTAAAACTTGATTGTTTTATTCTCAACTCTTTTAACTCTTGATTTGAGATTGATAAATTGATGAACTTTATGTGCTTAAATGGAATATATTGATTCTTGGTTCATCTCTAGTCTTGGTCAAGATATATGCTTATATGATCATTAATTCAACTTGACTTTAATGTTTATGATTTGAAAATACTTAAATTTTTTATTTCTTGTTTTTTAAAATATTTTTAAATATACTTACTCTTGTGCTAAATTGATTCATTAATTTTATGAAATATTTTGAATCTTGTGCTCAATTGATATATCCCTTGATTTGTGATTTTGAATATGATGAACTACTTGCTTGTAAATGATATGTGTTATTAGTTCATCCATTGTTCCTGTCAAGTGTGTGCATATATGATAAATATGATTTTTTTTACTTGACATGGTTGCAATATAACTTAAGGAAATGATTTTCTTATAATGCTTATTTTTAGCTTAAGTAATTATTGATTATGGCCTATAATTTGTGTAGACATATTTATGATTTTGTGCTAAAATTTTTATGAATAGGTTTTTGATGATAAATGTCGTCATTTGTTTTTAGTTTTCATATGCCCTAAAATTTATTTTGACATATTCTTTAGTGATTTATTGAATATATATGAATATTGAATATGTTTATTTTGTGTTCATAAATGATCTAAAATGTTTGATTTTTACACATTACATGAGAACTTTTGCTTTAATGCAATTCTCATGCTATTTGATGTTTAAATTGATATATGGCCTCTAACTTAAGTATATATCTCCATTGCAATTGACAACTTGTGCTTAATGAATAAATTTTTGTGTCTATAATAACTCAGAATATAGAATTATTTTCTAACAATTTGTATAATTTTTATCAATTGATTTTTTTATGCTATTAATGAACATTTCTTTGTCAAGAATATTTTCTAAGTCTATGCTAGGAGAACTTGAAGTGAGCATGAATGAGCCTACATTTTTAGAATTTCAAGTGGAATAAGCAAAGAAAGTCATCTTCATTAATCAAGCCCAAGTACCTCAAAGACTGGCTCAAATGATGTGAAATGAAAGATTCAAAGTCTCACTTAATTACAATGAGCATAACAACATAACTTGATAAGGATAGAGGTAATTGTATTGAATCTATGCTATGTGCCTATGATTTATAATATTTAATACATGATTTGATAAATGTTTGCTTTGATATATGTAAAAATGAGATATTGTGTTTGAAATAATGAACACTTTGCACAAATTAATCACCAAGCTACTTGATAGAATTCGTTTTAACTTTGTTAAATGCTTGGATTGATTAATATTCATGCCTAGTTCTTGATTACTTTGATTAATAGTTTTTATTGCATGAACATTCGTTTGAATCTTTGGATAAGGATATAAGTTAAATAGATTGATTTCTTTGAACATATTCATTGATTGAGATCATTAAGATAGCATGTATAACATTATGTCTAAATGTTTGTATCTTTATTGGTATATTGCTATACGTGATTTGAAATGCTTTTGCATATGCTTGCATAATTTTGATTGAAATATATATTTAGACACTTACGTATGTTTAGATTAAGTTCATTGTTATGCATTGAAATAAATAGAAATATATTTGAATAATTATGCCTTCATTTTTTTTTTTACTATACCATATGTGCTCATTATGTTTGAAAAATCATGCTTATATGATCTTTGTTAAGCAATGATGATTGAACCTCATTACTCATTAGTACTTATGATTTATTACATACATATGAGCTTTGGGTTCTTATTTGGATAGGATAGCTTATGAAAGATTACTATTATCATTTATGCATGTATTGAATGAATTTTTCTTATGCTTAAAGTATTTGTGCTTTATGAAAGTTGTTGAATAAAATTGCTAACAATTGGTATCAAATTTGCTAAAGATTTTTTTAACTTTCATAGATGCTTATTTATGTGCCTATCCTTAATATAACTTGTACTTTCTTGTAAAATTGTATATACCTTAAATTAATTAATCTTTTTTTTTAAAAGGAGGAAAAATCTTAGAATACAATTTTGTTTGATTTGTTTTGGGATAACAATTGGTGTGCTTTGTGATAACATATCTTTCACAATCGGTATCCTTAACAATTGGTATGAGCTTTTATAAATATGCATGAATTTATGCTTAATTGCTATTGATGTTTTAGGTTTTAAGCACATCTTATGATAACATAATTTATGAGCAAATTGTATATCATTCATTATCCTTTGCTCATAAATTTCATGTAGTAAATTCGATGACTTATGCTAAAATGCTAAAATTGAATACACTTATACGTTTGTGCTTGAATACATGTATATGAACTTCATTGTGAATATTATACTTGATTACATGCATTCAAAATACTCTTGAAATTATTGGTATCAAGCATTTTATCCCATACCTTGAATTGATATTTCTTTCTTTTGAAATGACCAAAAGGGAGAGAGAGTTTAGAGATATTTCTTTTTGTATGCTTATAACAATTGATATAGGAGCTTAAACATTTTGTATATAAAGAGCATAAACTAAAAATAGGAGAAATGTTTCATGAATATATTTGTCAATGATGCTTCTTTGTGTCTATTTGCTCATTAATATGCTTATGCCTTTTTGTTATAACAAAAAGAGAGAGAAATATCATATGAAAAAATTTACTTGTGTTTGATATGCATATGTTTGATTGTGTTTATTTCATATATTTAACTAACATATGTTTGTTGAGTTGTGTTGGATTAAGATGCATAAATTAAGGGAAAGTTTTGCCATACATTGTTTAAGATGGAGTTTTTCAAAATATTTTTCAAAATCTTAAATATATTAAAGAAAGTTTTTTTTTTTATTAAGCAAATTTATCTTTAAGTTTTGTCATATCAAAAAGAGAGAGATTGTTATCCTTGAATTGATCCTTATTTTGAAATGAGAAAACATTAACCTAAATAAGCTTGATCAAGATTTTGAAAAAGATTTATTTTATACATGTTCTTAAGTTTATATTTTGATACTAAATAAATAATATGTTTTTCATAGTGTAAACAAACCTTCCTTTGTTTTTATATTTCTCAAACCAAATCTATCTTTAAAGATTGTTTATTTGAACTTAAATGAAAGTCCAATTGTTGTTTTTAAATTGAACTTATTCATTTTGGACTTAATACAATTTTAATATTATTGGTTTTGAGAAATAAATTAACTTAAGAAAGTTGCTTTACAACAATAAAGTTTTCCAACATTGAACTTATTTTATTTTTCTGTATTAATTCATAAAGTTTTAATATTTAAATTTTATATGGTTAGAAAGCTCTTGGAGTCTACTTTCTAATGGATCAAACAAAATCAAAATCCAAAATTTTCAAGAAATGATTTTGAATTTTTACTAGATACTTTGCAATTGTCTAAAAACTGCACAATGGGTAATTTTAAAAGTTTACTATAATTCGTACAAAATGAATTAATGATAAATTTTATATGGATAGAAAGCCTTTTAAGTCTAGTTTCTAAATCTTCAAACGGTTTGTGATTTAAATTTTTATAACTCAAGATATGATCAAATTAGTAAGTAGAGTACAAAACAAGAGATAGCCATTCAGCTTTAACGAGATCGATCCCCTTAGGGAAGGGATCGATTGATTTTTCTTATAGCAGCAATTTTTGTGTTAAAAAGGCAACAAGAGATCAATCATCCTATATAGGGGATCGATCACCCCCTTGAACCAACCTATCCCCTACATACAGGGATCGATCGAGTCTTATTTTTCAGGCATGAGTTGGCTTCCAAAAGTGAACCGATCGATCCCTTCATGGAAGAGATCAATCGAGTATATCTTGGAACAACTCTAATAGCTAGTTTCTCATGCTTTCAATGGCTATTTTCTTCTCCTAAGCATCCCCAACGGCTAGCTCTTCAATTTTTCTATTTATTGGCCACTCCAACACACCAAGAAGGTTGATGAATCAAGAGAGTAAGATGAAACAAGTCATATATTCATTCACTCAAAGAAATCAAGAGTTTCTAAGCTTTAAAGTCTATATTTTTGTATTTGTTGTATCCAAATCATTGTTGTTGATTCATTCATCAAAATTCTTTGTACTTCATTAGGCAAACACTTAGTATTTGAGAGGTGTCTTAAGTTTGCATTTCTATTAAGTGATTTTGTAATGAAGAGGTGAGGTATCTTCTTGAATTTGTGGGATTAAAATATTGCTACTTAACTTAAAAAGTAAAAGTATAAGGTTTCTATCTTAAGCTTATAGGGTTGTAATTTCAATTCAAAAATAGTAGATTAAAGTTTTGGTATGGACAACCAAAAAGAGATGACGTAGTGCCTTATGAAAAAAGACTGAACCTTTATAAATTCTTATATTTGATTTCTCTATCACTATTTCTTTACTTTATAGTTGATTTAAGATATATCAATTGTTGTCATTTGTATCATATTTTAATATTAATTTTAGTTTTTTATTTAATTATTTTAAAATCATTGAATGAAAAAAATTTAAAAAAATTCAATTCACCTCTCTCTTAAATTATCATCTCATATAAAAAGCTAACAATTTGAATGTTATAAAAATTAAACAAATTAAGGATACCTCAAAAATAATATCCGCCATCATTGCTATGTCTAATTTGTTTAGATTTTCCATTTTTTCCCAGCAACCCCCGTGGGGCCGAAGTTCAATGGGGTCGTATCTCAAAGCCCTAAGCCCATATTCATTTACTTCTGTTTTGTGGACTGCAGCCGGACGATCCGAACGCCGCCCGGTCCATTTTTGGCGTAAAAAAAAGAGATTAAATCCAAAACGAAAGAGATCCCGTTTCAAAGCCTTTGACAGAAGCATGAGCAGTCGCAGGCAGCCCCCCAAGTACGAGCAAAGAAATGTTGAACTTTTTCAGGAGGCGCAACCCGAATTTCCGTCTCAAACGTTAGAACCCGCGCCGTCGATTGGCCATACGCATCCCCAAAGGTTTCCAACTCTTCATTGATGACGCCACTGAAAGGTAAAGAGTCGCTTCAAATCACTTAACGAATAACCTCAACTTTTTTTTTTTCAAAATTTTGTCATTTGTTCGGTTGTTTTGTACTTCAAAACTTGAGTGAGCTTTAAATAATCAGTGGCTGATTTCAATAATTTGTTATTGCTTGATTGTTAGGTTTTCTTTTAAGTTGTAATCAATTTTTTCCTTTTGGTTATTAGGTCGGAGCTGGTTGATTGTATATCTGGTATGCCATCTTCGGCTGAAATAATCCGAGCCATGATGAGATTCGGACGCCTTTCATTTGTTACAACTTCATTTTTAGGAAATGCTTTTAGTGAGTTTTATTTTGTAGGTTTGTTCTGTTGTTGATTCCGCGAAACTCTGCAGACAAACCCATCCGGCCAGGTCATTTATTTATAATCTTGAATGATATAATAAGATATTTTCCCATGACAGTTTATGGTGAATAATTTCTTTTGAGGAAACCTACATTGAACAAGAAACTTTTTGAGTAGAATAGTTGGGTCAAAGTACCATAGTTTGCTTCAGTTTTACATTCCATGTGCATTGAGGATTTATGTGCTATTGGGCAATGACAAACAGCTTTGCCATGTTTTGTTATTGTCATTACAGTTTCTCAATACAACTCATACTCTTTATTATGTGGTGAAAAAGGCAGAGCAAGATGGTCATTTGCTTACTGAGGAAGCTCGTGGAGCTGCCTACTACTTACATATTGACTTTTAGAAGGGTCGCATCCATCTCCCTTCTGGTGTATATCCTTTTGATACTGACAATCAGATTTGCTGCAGCATAATTTTCCTCCTTTAGAAGGTAAAGTTTAAAAATCCACTTTCTATTGAAGGAAAATTAGATTGAGTGAATCAGCTAAATCTAAATGCTCTTCGGCTATGGAGGGGAGTAAGAATATTACTCCTTTTCTTGTTCTCTGTTTACATCTCAGTAGCATTATCACAAGATTGTTTGAGCAGGTGGCTACTGGGTTTTGATTTAAATTTTGTATGCTATTGCATCCTTCCTGTTATGGTGAAAATATTACTATTGACCCTGGTCATGTGGATATATTTCCAGCATCATGCATCCGAGACAAATACTACATCTCCTCAAGCCTATTTATTGTCCGACATCCAGTGTGTCAAAGGAGTCATTAGGCTGACTAGATGACGAACAAGAAAAGGGTTTCAGGATTATAACAGAGCCACGTACTCTATCCACTGTTTTACAATGGATTGCTGATGATCAGGTAGCTTTCATCGTCTGGAATGAAGAAATCAATAACTCTTTTCTGCATTTTTATTAAAGTTGAGACTTGCAAGGTTAGCAAAATCAGTGTTCCACTCCTAGACTTTGGCAAATAACATCATTCAGTTATTGCTATTTATATTTTATCTTTAATAAGTTTACTTATCGAAAATGTTAAGTCTCCTTTTTTTTAGAGTACAGGAGAATCTGATTTTACATGGGCTATCATTTAATTATAATTATTTGCCTATTTTAGTCTTGGAGAACTAACCAAGTCTACCACCTCACTTTCTTAGGTTAGGAAAATGGCATATTTGAAAGGGAACTCCATTCCGCATGCAAACCACAAAGTTCTTGATAAACTTAGATCTTCCAGACCTGAGTTTGCTAAGGTAATTTAAATCATGTACAGAGTTTGTCAAAAGGCAACAATGAGATTTTATTTTATATATTGTCATGGTTTGATACGATAATGACTTCATGACTATGTGCATGTTTTCCAAATGTTTTATGTATCACTATAAGCTTTTCTAAACTTTTTTGGTTTGATGATTTTTGCTTAATTTGGTAGATTATTACAGCTACTTGCATGCCAAGTGTGCTGCAACCATATGGAAGAAGCTATGCAAAGAGGATCCTCTGTCACTGACAACCAGAACCGCTCTCAGAGCAAAACTTTTAGAGCACGGAGGAGCCAAAGAACCGGCTGATCTGTTGACTGATCTAGTGAGGCATGGGATAATAAGGGTATCATAATGGAGGGATGGTTCCTGACATCACAAGTTATTTTGGAAGAAGTGAAGCTTTCTGGAAAATAGGAAAACCGGCCTATTTTGTAACTGACTGGAGACAAAGTATCAAATGAAATGTAGGAGGAAAAGAATAAAACTAACAAACCAGCGGTAAAAGCACGTGATATTGTCAAAATAAGTCACTTTTGATCTTGGGTGAAAGATACCAGATATTGGGTAGTCACTGAAATGGCAATGTCATGGACTGGCAGGCACTGGCACTACTTTGCGACATCCCAAATTCCAAATTAAAGAATTTTCAGGTTCTGCAATAATGAATCACCTTCAAAGATTATGTATAACGGTCAATTTGGAACTGAATATTGTTAACTTGTAAGCCTATCTAGATATTCAATTTTAATTTGGCATTTGTAAGATGAACCAGAGAATGGCCGAGGCAGAAAGCGAGCAAATGCAGGAGGACCGTGGGGATGAGTGAGGAGAGAAGTGAAATTGCGGGAAAGGGACAGAGAGGAGAGCCAAGGCCATAAGGGGAAGTGATGAGAGAGTGAGAGGGAGCGATGCTTTCCATTAAAGTAAGCAGAGATGTTGGAAGTAAAAGAGGAGAGAGAGAGAGAGAGAGAGAGAGAGAGAGAGAGAGAGGGAGAGTGGTGGGTACTTAGGACGAAGAGAGAGGTAGTGGTAGGGTTAGCCTTGGACTGGGTTGGTTAGAAAACAGAATGTGAAATCGTTGCGGCGGAGAAAAAGTTTGGGAGAATCATAAATCAGCACTTGATGAATTTTCTAAAATAGAAAATAAAATAGTAGTTTGTCTTTGTCCGGCAGTTTTCAATTTGCAGGAAAAAAAAAAGGAAGGGGGGGTGCAAAAGCTAAATACTAGAATTTGAGGGGAGGGAAAAGAGATATACCCAAAAATCCAGAGATAAAACATGAAGCGCACGCTGCAGAACATCAGTTTAACCAACTAAACTGAAAATGGCGCTACAAACTCACACTCCATCATCTTTCACCAACGGACTCTATCACAGCCACTCAGTCTTCCCAAAACCCAAAATTTCTATCAAATTCCAGAAGCCCACCGTCGACGCCGAGCCCAATCCTGAGCCCACCTCCTCAACCAAGAAGCCTACCGCACCCGGCCAGGGGTTTGGCTCCTCGTCTTCTTCGTCCTTACCCTCCGGCAAGTCAAGCACAAGCAGCAGCAAGAAGAAGCAGAAGGGAAAAAGAGAGAGGGCGTCCATAATAAGGCGGTCGCCGGTCGAGAAACCTTCGTTTGTGAGCAAAGAAGAAGGGGCTAAAGCTGAGGAACAGAGAAAAAATGAGAGTGCTTTTCTACTGGCATGGTTTGGGCTTGGTGGGATCATTCTTGTGGAAGGCATTGTTCTTGCTGCTTCAGGTATGTCTATGGATTAACACCATTGTTCTGTTTTCCGTTTATTTAAAGTTGCGTTGTGGAGAGTGATCCCTTTTTGGTATAAATTTGGGTTTGACATTTGAACCTGATATTAGGTAAAATGAGATTGAAGTTGAGAATTTATAGGAGATATCATACTTTTTTTTTAAGAAATTTTCAGAACCAAGAAAGTTTAGTAATTGTGTTGTATCATTACTTCAATTGCAAAAATTATTGTGGTCAAAATTAGAACAATTGAGATTGGATTAAACCTTGGAGAATTGAAATTGCTATATGTCATGTTTCTTGAGACCAAGTGTTAACTTCAGTCTTGTCCAGTGAAAGGCAAGGCAGGCAAGTATGAGTGTGTGACAGTTATAAAAATCCACGTTAATTAATAATTAGAAGCATAGCATTCCATAACAGTTTCACTATGTAATAAGCCTTAGGTTAGGTCATATCTGATTCAGAAAAAAAAAAACACTTCAATATCATCCTCCATTAGATGATGGACCAGAAACATCAATGATACATTTTTTCCTAGTGACATGCTTGTTTTCCAATTGGGTTACTGATTCCTAATAATTTTACACTATACAAGGATGTTTAGGTTCTTGTCATTCTTCAGAAGGATTTATGTAAAGATTCATTGTTTGTTGTGCTGTATTAGGGTTATTATTTGTAATCCCCTTCTTAATTAGAAAATTGGGGCCTGCAGAACTGATTTACTAGGTTTTTTAACCCCTGATAAATTTATAGTGATTTTATTTATTATAAAATGAAAAAGGTCAAATTAAGAAATTAGTCATTGTACTTTGGCGAAATCAAGATTTAGTCCATGTGCAATAATTTGAACAAATTAAGTTATCTAGTTATCAAGATTTGAAATTTCAGTCCAAATTCTAGCAAAGCTAACATTCCATCGTTAAGTTGCCAACATGGACTTTTTTTCTGTGCACTTGGATTGCTAATGCGAAAATGCCACCTATGGCATTTCCCTTTAATTTTTACTTTTTTTTCTTCATTTTTTCTTCTCCCTTACTCACTACACTGAGTCTTCCAAACCATCCACCAGACAATTCCAGATTCTGGCCACTGGAACCACTGACCATGTGCTTCACCACCGGCCACTGCTATCCGGCGCTGGATCACCACCAAAATCCACCCATATGATCCTCCTTTCCTCCTCTTTCACCCTACCAAGTTAGTTTAAATTAAAAAAAAAAAAAAAAAAAAAAAAAAAAAAAAAAAAACTAGAAAACCTAGATCTATAATCCAACTTTTTGGCTTAGAAATCCCAAAAGCCCCCTAAAGCTCTCTAAGTTCATTCAGGTTGGATCCAATTTTGCCACCATTGATATCCAAATATATGACAGGAGTTTCAAACAGGAATATCAGATATTTAGAGGACAATCACCTTGAAATTGTTAGTGAAGGACTCCATATCTAGGCAAATGCTTCCATTGCTGTTAATATTGGGGTGGAATACCTTTATTCTAAATGCCACTTTATCTTATCGAAAACATTAAAGGGAGACAGAAACAAGAGAGAAGGAAAATACACACTCTATAATAATTATGTGTTAAGCAACTTGAATTCATACAAAACCATTGGTCAAAGCCAAATAAAAAAAAAAAATCTACCAACCCAGAGCAACCTCAGTTTTCCTTTTACATATTTTCTACCATTTCAAGCTTCTGAAAATATTTATGCCTGTTAAAAGGACTCCCAGTTTTCATGTAATTTTAATTTTCATTTAAGCTTTTAAGCCATCAGGCAGACAAGCATTTGGAAAGCACAGAGCATTTCGAGTAACATGACAATGAGGGCATCAATTATTCTCATTGAAGCATCTGTCACTCTTCGGGAGATTTGTAGTGACGGGGGTGGAGTTTTTGGGGTGGTGAGGATGTGAGTTTGGATTATAGATCTAGGGTTTTCTAGGGCTTTTTTAACTAACTCAGTAGGGTGAAAGAGGAGGAGAAGTGGATCATTTGAGTGGATTTTGGTGGAGATTCGCTCTGGCTAACAGTGGCTTGTGGCAGAGCACAGCAGCTGATGGCAATTCTGGTGGCCAAAATCAGGAATTTGTGGTGGTTGGTTTGAAAGCTTAAAAGTAGTGAGAGAGGAGATGAAAAAATGGAAAAAACAAAAGGCAAAATTTATAGGGAAATGCCATCTTGGCATTTCCAATGTGGCATTTTCGGGCATGGAAATTCCACATTTGCTGTCCATGTGGGCAAAAAAAGTCCACATCAGCATTTAACAGTGAAATATTAACTTAGTTAGAATTTGGACTGAAATTTCGAACTTCGACAAGTAAAGGGACGTGATTTATTCAAATTACTGTACAGGGACTGCATCTTGATTTTGGCCAGAGCATATGGACTAATTTCGTAATTTGACCACTGAAAAACAATAACTCTACATTTCCATGAAGTTGGGCATGTCAAAGTATGAAAATGATATCTGCTACATTTTGAAGCTATGAATTGTGATCCCAAATAACTTGCTAGCTGTTCTATATTTACAGGCTTCCTACCAGAAGAGTGGGATAATTTCTTTGTGAAGTACTTGTACCCATCTTTCACCCCAACTGTTGTCTTGTTTCTTGCTGGAACTGTTGCATATGGAGTGTTGAAGTACCTGCAAAATGAGAAGCTTAAAGACCAAGAGTAAATAGTTCATTCCAATAATCTGATATTTCCAAATTATAAGATTAGACTGTTGTAGCGAAAGCCAAGTGAGCATTTGTACATTTCTGCAGGCTGTACTTTCAGTTTTAGTGCTTTCTTTGTGGAGAGTGTTGTATTAACAGAGAACACAAAAAGGAATTTTCCTGCTAGGAATGTTAACCATCCTTATTTATGATCTGCTGAGGCAGCTTTATGTATCTTAATTGGGCATTGAAGCAGCTACACAAAATTGTGTATCTCAATATATGCAACTGTTTTATTACGGTTATCTGTCTGAATTCTTTGAAAGCATGGCATTGTTACTTGTTTCCTTTTTTACCTGAAAAAACAATTGCACAATTTACAAGGAATTTCCTTACGTTGACATTACAATTTGACAAATAGGATTAATAACTGCTTGCTCTTGTTTGGACCAATAATACTCTATTTGACTCTTCAAATCCTGAAAAACACTTTTTTGGGTGTTCCACTCAATGGAATTGAGATTTCTTATACATGTACTTGCTGGCAATGATACATGGAAGCTTGGTGCTATGTTCTGTTTGTTAGACTTACAGTCATAACTTTCTGATGGTTCCATAGTTCTTCATTCGTCCTTTTCGTTGAAAGAGCAATCATCTTCAAGGGTATACTTAAGTGCCAATGCAGTTGATGAATGTGAGATTCTGGCCTGGAAAAACAAAAGGCGTGAGAATGTCCACCTCATATAGATAATAAAGCTACTGTATTCTCAGCATTGCAATTTATCAGATAGTATGGTATATGGTAAGTTAGATTTGTTATTTTTCTTCAAGGCAACCCACGAGTTTTGTGTTCTTGTGGTTATGCTGGATCCACTGTCTTAGGAAAAAGAGTGTTTAATCCACACTGAGATTGGATGAACTCGGCGTGCGTCATTCATCGATATCTTCAAAAACCAAGCAGCCTAGTCATCCATTGTCTAGAACTATGCCCGCTTTTTTAATGTTTGGAAACTGTGTGATTATTCACCTGAGGCAAAGCACTAAACTTCATGATGCTTGATATTTCTCTCATGCTTTATGGAATTTATGTAACATCATTGTCATTAACATCAATAAGGAACAATAAGGGCTGCTGTTTATATCGATGTATAATCTATTTGAGGCAGTCTTTTTTGGTTGATAAGGTCATGTTGCTCCACTGATGTTAAATGAAGCGTGTATTTCCCTGATTGGTTAATTCTTATCTTTCGTTGCTTTACATATAATTTGTGTTTTGTTTTGTTTTGCATGATTTACTTTGCAATGAGAAATGATCTCTGCTTCTTGTCTGTGGTAGTACATCAGTCAATGAAAACTTTGAATAAGTGGATTCTTTTGCAGCCACTGCCATCTTTCTTTAACAAGGTATTTGAAAACATCATATTTTATTATTTCTGTTATTCATTTAATTATGGCATTAGTCAATATTTGCTGCCTGTTGGGTAATTGTAAATACCGATAATGTATGACTAATATGTTTTAAATCCAACTACAGCATTGTCTGATTGCACGCAGGTCACCTTGGATTGATCACATAAAGCTCACGCCTTTTGCAGGTAGAGGCCTCAATCTCCTGATGATACCCTGGTAGGTAATATCAAGTGCTACACATTAAGAAATGAATGATAGAATTGCTAGACTTCAATTTGGAAATGAGCTAATAAGCAGCTTTTACTTTTACCCAAATATTTGAAGGCAGAAAGAGAGGGCTGACTACTTAATAAAAAGCTATGAAGTGCGTGAGATCTATTTATTCATTTTTTGTTCCAATATCTTAGATTCTTCTGAGAAAATATGAAGATATGATTGTAGATTGAATAAAGGGAGTGTGTAATTCATTTCCACTGAACCTAAAAGATATCCCATGGTTGGAAGAGTTTTAATACTTTTTATATCATCCCTTCTGACAGATATCCATTCTTGAACATAGCCATGCCTCTTTACTTCTACTGTACCATTTAAAAGTCTGGAATCAGTGAAATTTGTCATTGTTCTGGATGAGTTAGTTTATGGACTGTCTACCAGTTGTTTGATTAGATCTCTTCTTGTTTGAACTCCACATGCTGGTGCAAAATTCAATTTTAGTGGGCATATTTTAAGTCCCATTTTGTCCTGGCTGCGTAAGATGGATGCGCAGTTTTCTGTGTTGCTTATGTTTACATTCCCTTGTTTCTATCTAATTCCTTGATCAGTCACTCTTTTTACATATTCTTTCTTTTCCTTTTTTCTTCATATTGACAGCTTTTTTTTTTCCTTCTCCTGTCTCTTGATCCTATCACAGAGCTTCAGATACTCCTGAATATTTCAGAATGATCGCTTTTTTTTTGTTCAATTACAATCTGTAAATAGCACATAAAAATTGAAAAAAAAAATGATGTATTCGTAAACAGGCATGGCTGTTTTTCTTCATCTGGAGCCTCTGCCACCTTTGTCCTGCAGCTATTAAGATGCTCATCAACCTCCTAATTTCTACAATGTTTTAAAATTCTGCAAACAATAAAATCCACAGGTTAGAGTACTGCTGCATAATGCATTTAATTGGTTGAGCCTACCTTTTATTTTGGTGGACTTTGTTCAGTGATAATCATCGGCTATTACACATAATTGTGCAGTTGTATATTGGAAGCAAAATTTATAGTCATTTTCTTTGTTCTGGTAAGATATTAATATTGGTAAATTGGCAGCCGCTGCTCTGAGCTGTCTCTCATACTCGTATCTGTTTATGCTCTTTTCGACTAGAACTCTTTCACAAATGTGCTCTTTGGTTTTTGGTAGTTGGTGATCTAGTTGAAAATTGGAGAATGGAAATTTTCTCCAGTATATAAATTTAAAATATCATGTAATGGCCTCACTTTACTATTATAGGCACACATTTGATTATTAGCTTTCATCATGATTTCTTTACCCAAAAAAAGAAAACTTTCACCATTGATTATCCATGCTTTCCAAAGCACAGTTAAATGATTGTGGAGAAATGATGTGGGCTCAATTCTACCTAAATGGCTTTGTATTTGTGCAGGTGCATTACTCAGGAGTCAGCAAATGGATCAACCAAAACAAAGGGGAAACGTTTGGTCAGATGGGCATTAAAAGATGGATCCATGGATGGATGGCTCTACAACAAGCAACAGAGGAGCACAATAAAAACTCAATGTCTCCACCCTCCATTAATTGTTGTAAGACGGTTTGGAGATTGGCATTTAAGGTCTTAAATGGACACTGGAGGCTTTGAAGCAAGATTGCTTATTGGATTGAGAATGTAAATGGATATGATTACTTACGTTTTAGAATCATTATGCACCCGTAACAAATTTTTTTTTTTTGTCAAATTTATGCTTTTTTGGCTTCCATTTGATCAATTTATATCCTTTTTTCTTTTTGTATTTTTTTGAATAGGTTTTAGATTGAGATTTACAACCAAATTCATTTTTTAGTATTTTTGTGCATTGTTTATCATTTAATTTACTTTTACTTGCTTAGAAGCCTTTGTTTTAAGGCAATGTTCTATAATTTTCAAATCTTTTATCTACCAATACTGTTATTATTAATATATCATTATCAACTTTGAATAAAACTTTTATAGTTATCATTGTTATTTCTAAATATATATATATCTAACTTTAGGATATTTTTGTTTAATTTTCTTGATTTTTTCTTTAGTAAATAAAGAACATCTACAGATCCTTGATTAGAATTAGTAGTTATAGTATTACCATTGATTTTTTTTTGTCTTTTTATCTATGGTTTGAATTTTGAAAAGACAAAAAGTTTATAAATTTCATCTTTCTTTAATGATTGTAGATTTTCTAACAATTCGTTTGAAATAATAACATCTTGTCTGAAGACATCATTTAATTTTGTGATTTGTTGTTCTTCAGTGGATATATCTTTAGTTTCAGAACTAAGTTTATTATTAACTTCCGATACAATATTATTATTAGGATTGCTACTAGTATTAAGCATAAAAATATACTCATCATCATCAAAATCATAATCTATTTGTGAAATTATTTCATAAATAATTTCATCTTAAAAACTTTTTTCTCTAAAATAAATTTCTAAATCTCGTTCTTTGAGAGTTTTAATAACTTTTTTTAGCATTTTTTCCTTTATTAGGACATTGAAGTGTTATATAACATTCTTTATCACAAATAAAACATTTGCATTTGAACTTTTTTTTAGAAGTTTTTCTTTTAACAAATTTTTTCTTTTTGTCAAATTTATGCTTTTTTGGCTTCCATTTGACCAATTTATATCTTGTTTTCTTATTGTATTTCTTTGAATAGGTTTTAGATTACGATTTACAACCAAATTCCCATTCATTTTCTAGTATTTTTGTGCATTGTTTATCACTTAATTTACTTTTTACTTGCTTAGAAGCCTTTGTTTGAAGGCAATGTTTTATAATTTGTTTAGAAGCAAAATAAATTCCATTTCCTATGGAATCTAAATAGTCTTTAGTTTCTATTGTAGAGTTGTGAAGTTATAAATATTTAGGATACTAGTGATTATAGAGTTCATCCCAAGGTGATGGTAATTTATGAAAATATTGTTCCTTCCAAAATTTGGAATGAGTTTCATCCAATTTTTGGTATTCATGAATATATTTTTTAGAAAATTCTTCTAAATGTCTTATTTCATATAATTTTATTTTAATCAATGTATATTAGCTTCACTGTTTTGATCAACTAGTTCCATTCTTCCACAAAATTTATTTTTTAGTAGATTTGTAAAGTTTTTTAACAAATCTGATTTGTAGTTATTTGATTTAACAAAGTCCCTTTTTTAGCTTTTCCTATTTTGAGTTTTCCCATTTATGCAAAAATTGTAAAACATCTCCTTGAAATATTTCACAAAAATAATTTAAAAGTTTTTCTTTAGACCAAGTGTCTTTGTAGTTGTTTACTGCAATAGTCATAGATTGTGCCCAATCTTCTATGATTTTTCCATAATCATTTATCGATATTTTTGAAAGATCTAAATATGTTCCTCCTTGAGCTACAGTTCTTTTATTTAGAAATTTTATAAAACTAGATTGTGGTATAGGTTCCGTAACAGTTCCAGAAGATGTTCCTATTTGTTTGATTTTATCTCTATAAATCTCATTTTCGGTTCTATTATCAAACTTATTTTTATCATCAATTTCTTGATGAGAAATTTCTCCTACTTTTCTTTTTCCTCTATCAATTTTTTGTTTATAAAGATCCATAGGTGTAGGCTTACTATTTATTTCTTCACCACTTTTTCATATGATAAAGATTATGTACTACTTGTTCCATCTTTTACTACTGGATTAGTTGTTAAAATTTTATCTTTTCCTTTATCTTCTTCATCTGAACTACTTTCATTAGTAGAATCATAATTAAGTATATAATGATAATTAAACATTTTAAAAAGTTCTATATGTATTTCATATAGTTCTTCTATCATATTCAAATAATCAATCATTTCTTTAAAATCTGTGATTTTTTTCATTTTATACTTAAGGTGTTCTATAAGACTTTTATAGGATTTAAAATCTAATTTTTTTACTTTAAAAAAATCAAGTGGTTGATAAGATGATGGTTTATCATCATTAAGAGTATGAATAGCATTACCATAGTATAAAGGTCCAAATTCATTTGTTCGACTTTTATCAACTTTTAATAATTTTAATTTTTTATTAATATTTACAAATAGTTGTTTAGAATATTGATTTAGATCTAGACTATCTCATGTCCTAAATTATCTATTTTTTATTGTAACATATCAATTTTATTAAACAATTTTTTTTAAAAAAGTAATAGATAAATCTACAAATCCATTAATACAATGGCTAATTGTCGATTTATGATTTTCTAATTAATGATCCATATGTAAACTATGATTATAAGATTTTTCTGAATAAACACAGTTTTTAATATTTTGCTCCATGTTCCTAGTATCTAAAACCATCTGTATACCTTTCAAATATCTCTAAAGCTAGTTTTAAAGGCCACAATAAAGTCACACCACAAGTACAGAGATAGTAAATAAATATATGAGTTTTAGAATATAAACTTAAAATTAAAAGCTATGAAAATAAAAAAAATATTTATAATGATAGTTGTGATCTGGATATCTCGAATAGAAAATATATATCTAAATATTGATTTGTACAATCTATGATATACAAGATTCGTTACAAGCTCTGATACCAATTACAGGTGAGAGACAATTTACAGATGAAAAAAATGTGAAAAAGATGTAAAAAAGAGAAAAACTAGAGGAAAAAATTAAGAAGGGAAGAGAGTATCTGCCTTTTCTCTTTATCCCAACATCTTTTATAGTACAATCTTCTTCCTATTAATTAAAGTAGGTAAATAATTAATGCCTTTGACAATAATGAAACCAATTGTCAATACCTAATTTTGACAAAAAGGTAACTTTTACTTTTTCAAAAGATGACAATAATTTGTAATGAATATATCTGCCTTATCTCATCTTGTTGATGCTTATTTTGTAAACTATCATATCCTTCTTGAATATTATCAAGATCTATTAGTTTTTCATCATTCAGATTGAATAATTGTGGAGAACTAGCCTTGGTTTTGTTCTTGATGTTTCATCCTTCTTGGTATTGATATAATAAATGCTGAAGATGGTCTATGTCCTTCATTTTTTATAATTGTTTCAAAAGATTCATTGCTTATGGTTCAGTTGGTGGCAGTCTTTCGATCTTTGAATAAAGATTCTACAATCATAAGTTGAAACAGAGACTTAAAGATATTGAGATTTTATTATTTCACAATGCAAGATTTTTGCTTGGTTCATTATAGATGTTCTTGTTTGGAATAGGTATTGATTAGGAGATGAAAACTTTCTTAAAACTTGATTAAGCTGTTCAAAATTCTCATTGGATTTTTCAAGAAAAGGTCCATCTATCAATTTTTGAATTTTTTATATTTGATAAGGTTGGATAAACCTTTCTCTTTAATAAATCCCTAGGAGGCTAGTAATATTAAAATGAATATAGTAAAAATATGATTAATTTTTATGAAATCAATAAATTTTGATTTAATGAAAGCAAGAAATTATTTTATCAAGTGAAAAGAAAAATTTTGTACAACTATTTGGCTACTAGTCTAATTTCAATACTTGTTGTATCAAATGGTTCATGATCAAGTCTAAATTTTTTGAAGGAGTTCTCTTATTCTAGTATTTTCAAGATATATCATAGAATTATCTTCCTAAAAATGATAATCTACAAATTTTTCTTGTAATAGTTTTTTTATTTCAAGAAGAATAGTACTATTTATTATTTGAAATATCTCTTTAGGTAAGAAAATTACAGCTTTTTCAAACATTCAAATTTTCTTTAATTTTAATATTTTAGAAGAAAATTTTTATTTTTCAAAGAATTCACAAAGTTTTAAGAGATTGTTTATCTCTTCAAAGGAGTATTGATTTTCATCGATAGTAAAAAAGTCTGGATCTTACTCTTTTAACAAGTTATTTATACACATTGTTTTGAATGCAAGTTCTTAAAATCAAGCTTATTGTTCAACTTGATTAGCTAAAACTTGTGCTAATTTTGTCATGTTTCTTTTAAAATTAGTTTTGCTTTCAGATATATGAACTTTTCATATATTATTAAGTAGATTATATAATTCAGGGGGTAAACCTGGATTATAAAAATCTTTTATTTGTAGAGGAAGTTGCCTCAGCTTAAGCAATTCCTCAATTCTCTGGAGGATTTTAGAATATGAAATAGGTGTCATTGGTTTGGATCATGTGAAAATTAAGAAATATTAGGACTTGAACAGGTTCCATTATTGATTGTAATGAAAGTTGTGGAAATGAAAAATATGTCTGGAGAGAATAAAGGATTGACGATCTAAAAATAGTAGGATACAATAATCTTGGATTAGGATTTTAAGAAGAAATCTTTTGTTTAGATTGCTTATTCTGAATGGTGTTCCATTGTCCTTATTGCTCAAGAGGTTTTTTGCCTCTATCCATCTGGTCCGTTTAAAAAATCAGCAAGAATATTTTTAAATTCTTTAATAAATTCAATATAAAAATTATATTGACGTAAAAAATTATACCATCTAATCATTCTGGGCTTAGTTTCTAATCTCTTATGTTTTAAGAAGTTTTTGACTACTTAATTATCGATTTTAATAATAAAATTTTCATATGCTAAATAAATATGAAATCTTATTACTACATTTTTTTATTACTAGTAACTCTTTTTCAAAAATAATATATTTTATTTCATTAGGTTTAAATTTTCTTGAATTGTAACCATAAATTAATTTTTAATTATGTACTTTTGATTTAAGTACACATTTTC